CTCTGCCGTCAAGGTGAAATCCATTTTGTCATCTGGGTGCCTAAGTCAATTTCCTCTTAAACTATGCTAGGTTTGCAGAGATGGCAAAAGCACACATCCAACCAGCCCCAGAGTCAGATCTCAATGGCGGAGGTCTCTTTAGAAAAACAGAAAAGAAAAAGAAAATATTTTCTCCTAGAGTGACATTCAGAAAAATAATATTCTCATTAGAAGAGACTACAATCCTTTTTCATTCCCCCTGCCTGTCCCAGAGCACCCTATCAGATTGCTGGGGCCCTGCAGGTTGTTTTGAGGTACACAGAAGATGAAGGTGCTCTGGAACAAGAGTCCCCATCACTTTTCTATTTGAAGGCACAGGTTTGAGTGTGAGATTCCAGAAGTTGAGGGTGAACATAAAGTAGTGTGCTGCTCACATCATCTGCAAAGCCTCCGGGGATTCACACCTGCTGCTGAGAAGAAAAATCAACTTTCCTTTTTAAAAGAGACTGAATTCATTTAGGCTTTGTCTGAAGCACCACCACTTCCTTCCCTTGCGGAACACGTCACCGTCTCTCTTCCACCTTCTTCCCTTCTCTTTTTTTTTCTTTAGAGTGTTTGATACAAGAATGTCCAACTGCTTAAACATCAAATCAATCTCCTAAAATGGTAACTAATTTGTCCCTTCTCCCAGCTCTTTTAGGGCAAACATTTTGGCCCTGCATCAAATATTTAACCGAGGGAGTGAAGAACTCATGCAAACAAACAGAAATTAGTAATCCCCAGGTCCTTGTTCATATTATTGCAACAAGATGGCAAGTAGACAGAGCCCTAGGCCTGGAGTCAGGAAGACATGAATTCTAATTCACTACAGACACTTACTAGCTGCGTGACCTTGGGCAAGTCACTTCAACTTCTGTTTGCCTCAGTTTCCTCCTTTGTAAAATAAAAACCTGTGTAAAATTAAAAAAAAAACCAATCCTTTCAAGGTTGCTGTGAGGATCAAATGAAATGATGTTTGTAAAATGCCTAGTACAGTGCCTGGCACATAGTAGGTGCTATATAAATGTTAGCTATGATGATGGTAGTGCTGGGGGTGGTGGTGAGACTGCAGCCTGAGGTTTCTGGGTAATCAGGTTAACTCAGTTAATCAACAAACACTTATTAGGGGCTTCTTATATGCCAGGCATATTTATTAAGTGCCTACTATGTGCCAGGTATGGTGTTAAATTCTGAGAATACAAAAAAGGGAAAAATATTCCCTGCCCTCAAGAAACACACTCATTAATAGATGAGATAACATGTAAATAATTAGGGACACACAGGATATCGAGACATCCGACATCCTTCTACCTTAGGGTAGAAGGCGCTAGCAGCTGGACACTAGCAACCCCCTCTCCAGACTTCCTTACCTCTTTGACAGCAGCGTCACTGCCCTCAAAGCACCCAGCTAGCTCCTCTTTCGGTTTTGTTCTTCCCTGTTAGAATGTAAGCTCCTTGAGGGCAGCTAGGTGGCACAATGGATAGAGCACCAGCCTTGGAGTCAGGAGGACCGGAGTTCAAATCTGACCTTGGACACATAATACTCATTAGCTGTGTGACTCTGGGCACATCACTTAACCACAATTGCCTCACCGAAAAGGGAAAAAAAAGAATGTAAGCTCCTTGAGGGCAGGGACTATCTTGTTTTGCTTGGCTTTGTATGCCCAGCACTTAATGCAGAGCTTGGCACCTACTGAGTGCCTGATAAAGATTCTATTTCTTATCAATCTGCCTGTTTGTAGGAGGAAGGGTTTCCTGCAGAAGGTGGTGCTGGAACAGAATCTTAACGGAGCCCAGTGGATCCGAAGAGGCGGGGGGGGGGGAAGGGAGAGCATCTCGGGCATTGACTAAGTGCTTGCTTATATTGGACAAGGTGATAGGCCTG